AATTTGGGTGGGAAAATCTCTCGGCCGTTTGCAAGGTGACACCTGTAGCAGGCCGTCGCCTGTCACCGTGCGACACCTGTCACAGGCGACACGTGACCAGTCACGTGCCACCTGTGAGGGGCAAATGATTAGGGGATTTTTATCCACCAATCACCGTCTGACAAGTGGACCAACCAGGTTCCGCCACGTGTCCTTCACGAAGGCCAATAGGAGCCTGCCACGTGTCAATCACAGATACGTCCTCTACGGACCAATCGAGGCACGCCACGTGTCCACCCATGCCAAATGGGAAAACCGGCCAACAAGGCCCAATCCTGTCTAGAGGCCCGGTCAGCCCTAGGTTTACCCTAAACCTAGAGAGTGGCACGCTTCTCAAGACTATAAATACTTAATTAATCCTCATTAAAAGGGATCAAGCAATTGAGAGGCAATTGATCAAGCAATTAATCTCACCTGAAGAACAGAGAAGAACAGAAACATTACGGAACACTAATAACCGGCTAATCTCGCTAACAAAGCAGATTACCAACATTAAACACTCTCACCTAGAGAGGTCTTATTACTTTAATTTCCGTATTAATTACTCCTTAATCAGGTACTAACTTGACCGTTGGAGGCGGAGCTCTCAGGAGTCTCCGTTATTTTGCAGGTACAGGCGTCCGGTTCCAGTCTCGGAATTGTAACTCTCCCGCAGGACATCAGAAAACCCCGAAACAATCACGCTTAATAAGGTAATTAATAATCTTGTTTAGGGTTAATTTGATTATAATTTCAAGTGATCGCCAATAATAGTTTATTTGTGCATTAAATTCAACCAACATAGATAAACAGGTTTAGGGGTTAATCCTATTGATTGCATGTTAGTCAGAAAGCACACATGAATACGATCAGAATAAAGTAGAGGCCTATTATTAGGGCAGGTTCAATCTCTTTTAGGTTGGATTTGTACCTTCATCCCCGAACCCTTATTTGGTTCTAGACCTTATGGAGTTGACGATCTCTTGGATCGTTAAGGGGTGTAACCTTCACCCTGTGAATGGTTTACAAGTTCCTAAAACTTGTTGGCGACTCTTTTGCTCTATCTTCTTCCCTTTTGGACGCCACCGTACTTTAATGTATGATCACAGTGGGGTTCAAACTAAGGGGATTAACGCTTGAAAATCTGAAGCGAGGCGTTTTAGGTGGTAGCAAATGTGAAAATTTCCTTAATTTTTTTCCCAATTGAAAAATATGAACGTTAATGAAGATAATCGAAGATATGTATTAGGGTTTCCAAAAAGTATCCATTATAGTGGGCCCCATTAACAGTTTCAATAACGGAGTACTGTTTCTGGTGGTGATTTTATAATTTAATTTTATTAGATGGTGTTATAATAAAAAATCGAAAAAAGGTGGTGGTATAGTCCATTTTTTTCAAAAAATGTGGTGTTATTTTCAAAAATTTCCTTAATAATATCATGTGTTGCCATTAAGAAATGTTTGATCAAATAATGATCATCAATTTCTTTTATTCACGACCTCCAGAAGAAGGCGTAACCGCATAAGTTTAGCTTTTAAAGTAACTTTATTCAAATAGAGGTTTGGAATGATATAGAGATAAATCCATACATGGTAAAATGAAGACAATTTATATGTTCATGTGAAGACTTGAAGATGCAAATTCAAATTAGGAGGGTTGAAGAGCAAGGAATGATATTCTACTACATATGAGAAGACTCCTAACCATATTGGATTCATTGCAGCACTAGATAATCTCATGTTATCTATTCATCAGGGGGAGAAAATACGCGCTGCACTCTTTTTCCCTTAACAGTGGTTTTGTCCCACATTAGGTTTTCCTGGTAAGGTTTTCAATGAGACAACATCCCGAGCATGTTACGAAGAGTATTGTACTCTTTTTCCTTCATTACGTTTTTCCTAATAAGGTTTTAACAAGGCACACTCTTCGATAACGGACATCCAAGGGGGAGTGTTATGAAATATTATGTGGATATCCATTATCCTCCTTCATCATTCCGGAATATTCTGATTAGGGTTTATTGTTATCTAAGTAAACCCTAATTATATTGTATATATATATATATATATATATATATATATATATATATATATATATATATATATATATATATATCCTCACTATATGGCATAATGTAGACTAATCTATTTTTTTCCCAATTTCTCTTCTATTCCCCTTTATTTTATAACATTATTGTAATACTAATAATATCAGTGAACAACTGATAGTTTGATTGGCTAAATTGTAATCCCTCCATTTATATATTATATATCTATTAAGAGTAGTCAATCTGCGCGGGTGTTCAAGTCAAATTAAAATCGGGTCAAATCTAGTCATGAGTCTAGCTCAATACGGGTCAATCTAGGATAGACCTATATTGGGTTTACGTTCAAGTAAAGACAAGTTTGATTAATTTCTGGCTATGCTTGGCTGTTTACCCTTTCAGCTACATGTCAAGTTTGATTCAAGTCAAATTTTGGACAAATTCAATTTCAAATTTTGGTTGTATCGAATTGTTTTGGGTTAGGGCTGAGAATCCCTGACATGACCCGACCCGATAACTCGACTCAAAGTTACTGAGAGAAACCCGAACCCGACCCGATTTGACCCAAATTTCATATTTCATAATAATATTAAGTTTTACACTATTTTTTTTATAGTTTCTAAGCATAACCGAAAATCGACCCGAAATTTGAACCAAACCCGACCCGCTGACCCGAATTGTAACCCAAAGTAATTTGGGTGACATACGATGGAAATTAAATTTAGATTTGGGTTAGGTTTGGGTCGAATTGTCATCAAGTTGGGTCCTTATTGGTTTCGGGTCAAGTTCAAGATGGATTAATATCAATCCGCTCAAGTTGAACTTATATAATACACCTTCAACTATTCGATTAAGCGTAATTACAATTATACTATTAAGGGCATGTTCTGTTCAGGTTAATTTTAATTCATTTCCGTTCAGTTCCTAATTTCCTTCTCTCAATTCAATTCTATTCAGTTTAACCCCAATCATTTCAGTTCAATTGTTTTCAGTAAATCGGAACTGACCCTAAATCAATATAATTGCAAACAAGAGGTATATGACACGAATAAAATGAATCAACAACTATTTCACCAAATGCCACTGAGTACTTAAAAAATTCACCAAATGCCATCAAGGTTTTCAAAATTCACCAAATGCCATCGAGCTTTTAACAAATTCACCAAATTCCATTAATGACTAACAACCGTTAATTTCGTTAGTCATTAAGATTAAATATTTACACGTGTCATACTATGATTGATTCATTTTAATTATTTATTTTAATTAATAAAAATAATATTATTTTTCTTCATTTTCATGGAAAAATTGCTCGGGCATAGTTTTGGGGATCATTTTGATCCTTTATGGAAACAAATTAAACTCGAAAGCGACAAAAAGATAACGTAAATGCTCCGTTTAATGTGTTGAAAAATATTTCGATTAGCGTGTCGTTACATTATAACCATCAATTGATCGAGTAAGGTTTTGAGGGTTATTTTGACCCTTTATGGGCACAAATTAAGCTCAGAATTGACAAAAAAATAACGTAAATGCTCCGTTTTGTGTGTTAAAAAATATTTCGATTAGCGTGTCGTTATTTTTTAACCATCGAAATTGATCGGGTAAGGTTTTGGGAGTCATTTTGATTCTTTATGGGAACAAATTAAGCTCAGAATTGACTAAAAATAACATATATGCCCCATTTTGTATGTCGATATCGTAATTTTTTTCGGAAAAAAATGCAAAACGGGGTATGTATTTTTTTTTTGCCAATTCCGAGTTTAATTTGTATCCATAAAGGGTCAAAATGACCCCAAAAACCTTACCCGAACAATATTCGTCACGAAAATCGAAAAAAAATATTATTTTTATTCATTAAAATAAATAATTAGGGTTTTTCTACCTTATAACCCTCCAACTTTTCGTTTTCTACGATGTGCCCCCTCTTTTTGAGAAATCTACACTGTAACCTTAAACTATATTTAGCTTCTATACGGTAACCTTGCCGTTAACAAATTCCGTTAGTTATATTTTTTTTATCGATTTGCGTGTTATAAATGGTTCCGTTAAAGGTTTTAGGGGGTATTTTATCCCTAAAGGATCCAAATTGAGCTCAGATTTCACAAAAAATGACACAAATGTCTTGTTTTGCATATTAAATACGTAAACACGCAAATCAAGACTTTTTAATATGCAAAACGAAGCATTTGTGTTATTATTTTGCTAAATCTGAGCTCAATTTGATTCCTTTAGAACAAAAATACCCCCCAAAACCTTCAACGGAACCATTTTCAACATGCAAATTGATAAAAAAATATTATAAAATGGTGAGTAGGCCCCACTAACGGAATTTGTTCACGACAAGGTTACCATATAGAAACTAAATGTATTTTAAGGTTACAGTGTAGATTTCTCAAAAAGGTAGGGCACATCGTAGAAAATGGAAAATTGGAGGGTTAAAATGTAGAAAAACCCAAATAATTATTTTGTATTAATTTTTAAAAGCAATGACATTTGTTGAAATAATTTTCCAAAGTAATGACATTTGGTGAAATAAGAATTGCATTAACGGAAAACTAATGTCCATATACTTTTAGTGGCATGAGGTGTCATTGTATTGTTTGTCAGTGACATTTGGTGAATTATGAAAACTTTAATGACATTTGGTGAATTTTGTAAGTACTCAGTGCCATTTGCTGAAATAGTGGATAAATCAATATGCTATTAAGCCACCGCCAATAACGCATTTATTTCGAAACGTGGGGAGTTTTAATCTAAATCCCACGAATAACCAAGTCACCTACCAACCTGGTGTCCATACTATTGGCAAAGATAACAAAAATATAAGGGCCACCCCACCCCATAAGTCTACCCAATCCGTGGGGTCCAAAAATCCAACTTATTTTTGATGTAAACCATGCAATAAACTTGTGTTCTATCTTTCGTTCTTCTGCCTAAAAAACTCTCACCTCACCCATTTTGGCCATATACATACCTTAACTTATCATTGGCATTGCTTATCAACTTCTTTCATCATCTTCCTCAATCTACCATTTTCATATTCAAAACACAACTTCCACCATTTTTTCCCCATTTTTTCAATCTTCAACTTTCCTCCATAGTCAACTCAACACCCTCATTTCCATTTTTCTACGTTTGTGTACGGTATCATTTATTTTACTTTTCAACCTTCAATTTTTCATTTTCCCTTAAACCATCATTATTAAATTAAACCATAATTAATACACAACAAAACCCTATTTCTAAACCACCCAACTTGTCATAAAAATCAATTAATTAACCTCATAACATCTAAACTTTTTATCATCTAGTCCATAAAAAAAATACCCCTGAAAATGATATGTATTTAATTTAATCTCTCAAAGTTTTAGATCCCACTTTCATGGTTTCAATTATCTTATTCATTAGTATTATATAAGCAGGCCACCATATATTATACATCAAATAATTATTTATTTTAATTGTAAGTCAAATAAATTTTCTTACTCTTTCCAAAGAAAACACCCAAACACACCCTCGTGAGAAACGATGCAGTCTCTCTCCTCTCCTTACAGTAGTAGTCGTGCGTTATTATATAGTAGCAGTAGTAGTACCCAACTACCCAAACAGAATAATATAAAAAAGAATCACTATTTTTGCGATCTGGGAATTTTTTTTAACGAAAAGGGTCGCCGGAAAATGACTACGGAAAATCATCTCCGGCATGTTCAATCTTTGCCTGTTTTTCCTTCTGGTGCTGGGAATATTCCGCGTTTGAATGCTGTTATTCTTGGTGAAGCTTTGGCTTCTGAAGAAAATGACTTTGTTTTTCCTAGTCCGGAATTCTCTCGCAATGCTCATGTTTCTTCTCCTTCTGAGGTGTTTTTTGTTCTTTTCTGGGGTTTTTCTGTTTTGGGTGTTTGCTGAATTTAACGAGTTGGGGTGTTTTCTGTGTCGAGTTTGTCGTAAAGGGCAATGATGTAGACGGAATTTGATTCTGGTTGTCGTATTTAGGTTGATCATTCAAGGATATGTGTAATTTGATGATTAAGTTTTGGGAGTTGGGGTTTTTTTTATGTGTCGAAAGGATATGTAGACGGGTTTGATCCTGGTTCTCTTATTTTGATTGATCATTCATGTATATTGTAATTTGATGATTTAGATTAGGGAGTTGGGGTTTTGTGTCGAAATGGTAATGATGTAGACGGGGTTTGATCCTGGTCATTTCATTTTGATTGATCATTCAAATAAATTTGTAATTTGATGATTTGGTTTAGGGAGTTGAGTCGAGTTAGTCATAAAGGATATGAGATTTGATTATATTGATGGATCATTTGCTTGAATTTGGAATTTGACGATTATATTTTGGTTGTTTTTGTTTTATTTGTGAAGTATTCGGACATGTACAAGAGGTCAGTGGAGGATCCATCAGGGTTTTGGGGAGATATAGCTTCAGAATTTTATTGGAAACAGAAATGGGGAAAGGAAGTTTGCTCAGAGAATCTGGATGTGACAAAAGGAACTGTTAACATTGAGGTGAGTGATACTTACTTTATATTGATCACTCACTTCTCAGGATAATAGTGTGTGATTTAGTTTTGATTTTGTGAGCATTATTTTGAAATGGGCAGTGGTTCAAAGGTGGGATCACCAACATCTGCTACAATTGTTTGGATAGAAATGTTGAGAATGGAAATGGTGATAAAATTGCATTGTATTGGGAAGGAAATGATCTTGGTTTTGATGACAGTTTGACTTACAGTCAGCTCCTGGAGAAAGTTTGCCAGGTAATTGTGGGTGTTGTTTGTTTGTGTCTTTATTTAGTTTGGATCAAGTTCGATTCAAATGCAAAGGGAAATTTTCCAAAGGTTATTATGTTCTTTGTCAACAGCTTGCAAATTACTTGAAAGATGTTGGGGTTAAGAAGGGTGATGCTGTTATCATCTATCTGCCTATGCTCATGGAACTGCCAATTGCAATGCTTGCTTGTGCTCGAATCGGTGCAATCCACTCGGTACTACTCATTTTACCATTGTTTACGATGCTTGAATAGAATTAATTCAATGGGTTTTGACATTCTTCAGCCTAAACTAATCAATTGCTTGTGACTGCTACTTTCTTTTCAATTTTTTGGATGTATTTCTGTAGGTTGTCTTTGCTGGTTTCTCTTCAGAGTCACTTGCTCAAAGAATTGTAGATTGCAAGCCAAAGGTTGTCCTTACTTGCAATGCTGTCAAAAGAGGAGCAAAGGTAATCGGTCTCAAAGACATAGTAGATGCTGCTCTTGCTGAATCAACTAAGAACGGCGTTTCTGTAGGTATAGACTTGACTAAATAGTTTTTATGATACTACTGTGCTACTTTCAGTAATATTCTTCCACAGCACCTTCAATGTTATCTCGAAACTAAAAATAGATGTTCTGCTGCATTGATCTGTAAAAACAAAATTCAAGGTGCATCTGAATGGCCAAAATATTCTGTTCTTCATAGTTTGCTCCTCAGTTTACTGCAGATTTGATTTCACATCCTTGTCTATATGATGGAGTAATGTTGCAATACAACTCTTTCCTATTTGTTCTCTGGTTGCAGTTAGTAGCTTCAGCTCAGTGTATAAAATGGTCTATTCAAGCTTTGCTGGAATCATATGTGACATACCAACTCTGGTCCACAGAATTTAATCTGACTTTATGATAACCAATAAATTTATTTTCTAGTGGTGGCCTGATTTAATTGAATGAAAAGGATGGAATGTGTATGACTAATTGATTGATGTGTTACTCAATTATTTATTGTAATTTGTTTCTGTGTACTCAGTCTCTGATTATGTGAAAATTCCATTACTTTGCATGAAGTGTGATTGTTAAAGTAAAGACTGTTTATTGCAATTTTGTGTAATTCAAATGTAAATTTTGAGCTATGGTTTTTATTTTTGTGATTGAGCGCTGCATTTGTTAAACCATGCCTGATTTTCTGGTATTTTATCATTTGAGCAGATGTATGCCTAACATATGAAAACAAGTTAGCCGTTAGTAGAGAGAACACCAAATGGACGGAAGGAAGAGATATCTGGTGGCAGGTTGGTATGCTTTTCTTGTGGTGTACATATTTATGATATTATTCGACAGTGTCCTTAGCTATTCTGGCCTTCTGGGTCTGTGACATGCATGTAACAATTCAGCTGACAATTGCTGGAAGTTAAGTGCACCATCAGTGTAAATATAATTCTTGTGACCCGTTTCATTTCTGTATTTTTGTAAATTTGAGATGAATGTTATAAGGAAAATGAATTTTCTTTTCTCCCTCTAGGATGTTGTTCCAAAGTACCCCAGTACTTGTGATGTTGAATGGGTTGATGCAGAAGATCCACTATTTCTGCTTTATACTAGTGGAAGCACGGGAAAACCCAAGGTATTTGAGATTGTCATTGCTATGTAATCAATGCTTCTTTCTATTACAATCTATACTTATAAACATTACGCACACAAATTCTTAATGGTGCTTGATCATTTTTAGGGTGTCGTTCATACAACTGGAGGCTACATGGTATATACTGCCACAACATTTAAGTATACATTTGATTATAAGCCTTCAGATGTATACTGGTAAGGCAACCCTTTATTATTAATTAACAAGTGGTTATTTGTGTATCTTCATCATCATCTCATCATTATGCGTAACTATTTCATTCTGTATCAGATTGTGAGATCATTATTACATTTTTAAGATTTATAGCTTACTTTTCCTTGCATGTGATAGGTGCACTGCTGACTGTGGTTGGATTACTGGACACAGCTATGTAACATATGGCCCTTTGCTCAATGGAGCTTCCTGTATTGTTTTTGAAGGGGTAATAACCTGCCTCTTTGTTACTGAAATCTAATTTGAAAGTGATAAGAAAACTGCAAATACCTGTTTATTTACAGCTGAAGCATCTGATTGTTATTAAATGCCTGATTGATTGTCTTATAGGCTCCAACCTACCCAGATGCGGGTCGTTGCTGGGATATTGTTGATAAATACAAAGTGTCAATATTCTACACTGCCCCTACACTGGTCAGATCTCTCATGCGTGAGGGTACTGAGGTAAAGCCAACACAATTACTAGTTAGCCGACATAGTTATGAACATGAAACGTGTATACATATGAGTTTAATAATTGCGTGTCTAAATTGCAGCATGTTACTCGTTACTCACGCAAATCCTTAAGGGTTTTAGGAAGTGTGGGAGAGCCAATCAATCCTAGTGCATGGAGGTTCACCAACTCTGGCTCTTTCTGTTTGTTGATATCAATGATTAGATTTGCTCTTATTAACCTTGAGTGTGCATCCTTCCAGATGGTTCTTTAATGTTGTTGGAGATTCAAGGTGTCCTATATCTGACACTTGGTGGCAGACTGAAACTGGTGGCTTTATGGTGGGTAAATCACTTTTTCCCCTGCATTCCTATTTCCATTGCCCATTATTACTCATTATGGACTACAATTGGTATAGAGTGTAATATGTTGTCCACATTGATGCTTTGCAGATAACCCCTTTACCTGGTGCTTGGGCACAGAAGCCAGGTTCTGCCTCATATCCTTTCTTTGGAGTTCAGGTAATGCCTCCAAATATATATATTTGTTGTTATATTCATCTCAGCCTCATTATTCATACCGTAAATGATTTCATACTGACTTTAGCATCATTTTTTGCACCATTCTACTTCCAGCCTGTCATTGTAGACGAGAAGGGCAAAGAGTTAGAAGGTGAATGTAGCGGGTACTTATGTATAAAGCACTCATGGCCTTCAGCTTTCCGTACTCTATATGGTGATCATGAAAGATATGAAACCACATATTTCAAGCCATTCCCTGGTTATTATTTTACTGGGGATGGCTGTAGCAGGTAATTAATATCGTTACGTAAAATATTTCATCATACAAATAATTGCCGATGTGTATCAATTGACATTGGCATATTAAGTTAATGGATTTGGAATCCCACATTTGTTTGTTGAAGTCATTTCTTGTATTTCCCAGGGATAAAGATGGTTACTACTGGCTCACTGGAAGAGTGGACGATGTCATCAATGTCAGGTAACTCCTGATACCACATTGTTTAGTGATCAGTTTTATTCTAGAAAATGCGCAAGATTTTGAGGACCTTTTCTTGCACTTTTCATGGATGTTTGTATTTTGTACAGTGGTCACCGTATTGGAACTGCTGAAGTGGAATCTGCCCTAGTTTCACATCCTCAGTGTGCTGAGGCTGCTGTGGTTGGTGTTGAGCATGAGGTATAATGGGTCCTCCCACCTCATTTTTATGCAACACTGCTTTTGTATACTCGTGATTGCAAGTAATGCCACTATCCCATCCTTCATTGGAATCTTCATAAGTTTCTGTTGTCTTGTTCAGGTGAAAGGGCAGGGCATTTACGCATTTGTTACTTTGGTTGAGGGTGTTCCCTATAGTGAAGAGCTTCGCAAAAGCCTTGTCATGGCTGTCCGTAGTCAGGTTAGTTCCCCAATTTGTGTTTGCTTCTGCCAGAAACTGTGGCCAAATTATTCCAAGAATAATTGGCTTGATTCAATCAGTGACATATTTAGCATACACTTGTATAACTATGAAGAAATTTTGGTTGGCCCAATGTTTAAAATGTCAATTTTTTTTAATTCCTGTCAAATAAAAGATATCAGTATTATTTTGGTTGGCCCAATGTTTAAAATGTCAATTTTTTTAATTCCTGTCAAATAAAAGATGTCAGTATTATACTCACTTATACATTCAGGATTCAAAAGTTAAAACATTTGGTGCGAATTTATTTAGTTCTATGTTCCATCACTACATGCATATTTGGTGCGAATTTGTTTATTTCTATGTTCCACCGCTACGTGCATACTATAATTTTGGATTAATCAATTGGACCCCTTCAATAATTTCAGATTGGAGCATTTGCTGCCCCAGATAAGATTCACTGGGCACCTGGACTCCCCAAAACAAGAAGTGGAAAGATAATGAGGAGGATTTTGAGAAAGATTGCTTCAAGGCAACTTGATGAGCTTGGAGACACCAGCACTCTTGCAGAACCAGTTGTTGTAGAACAGCTTATTGCCCTTGCTGACAAATAGAACATTCAAATTTAGAGTTATTTCAGTGAATTTTTAAATGGTGGCTCCGTTTTGGCGCTTTCTCACAGTAAAATTCAAATTCTTTTGGGCTGAAGGTTTAGAAGTTCTTGCTATCAATCTGCTTTGCAGATTATTGCTGGATTTGTTGTTGTGATGCTGTCATTCTTATAGCCTTTTGTACCATAGCCGTTGTTCCATTATGATCTAATAGGGGAGTGATTCAATTTTTTCGGTACACATTTTTGTGCGGAAATTTTTTTATTACCAATTACAGTTTAGTAATAAAGCTAGTCCTGTAAGGCTTGCATCTTTTTTGCAATTATTGAGAACGATTGTAATTGATCCTTCTATGTTTGTGCTGTGAAATGTGAGGGTAAACAAATTTCATCATTTGATGATATTTACAATTATTTTGTTTTTCAGTATTTAATTGATACAAAGTTATGGAAATTATGTTTGCTGCGCTTTGTGCTAAGATCATGTAATCAGGATTATCCATCCAATTCCCAGGACTTACTTCTGTCATCTATCCTTCTAGACACCATCTTTTATTGCCAGGTTAATTCATTTCCATATTGACTTTTTTTTTTTTTTTTTTTTTTTTTTTTTTTTTTTTTTTTTGTGACAAAGGTCTACTCAAAACAAACAACCTAAAACAAGTAACTAACTGAACCACACACACTACGACTACAATAAGTAACAAAACCCCAAGAAGGGCCAATGCGAGCATGCTTCTCACAAGCGAAGTTGTCGGACTCCAGATCAAGAGACGAAGCCCGATGTCGCTTTGTGCCCACACGATCCATCTTGTAACCTGCAAAAACCCTATCCCAACACATCTTACCTGATGCCCAAAGGCGAGAATGAGAAAAAGTCCGTTGGCGATTCACATCTATTTGGTTGGCTAGGATCTCATATGCATTCTAAGTGTCTATTGATGTCGCTGGTACTTGTTTAATGAGTTTTCCTCTAATGATCTAGATTGAATGAGGTTTGATATTAAACTTTATTTTTTTTTGAAAAAAGATATTAAACTTTGTTGATATTATAGTATAATGATAGCATCAAACGTAAAACAAATTTGGGCAAAAATAAGATGAATGCTACTCCCACCACCATAAATGTGGTTTTTTTTTGAAAATAGATATTAAACTTTATTGATATTATAGTATAATGATAGCATCAAACGTAAAACAAATTTGGGCAAAAATAAGATGAATGCTACTCCCACCACCATAAATGTGGTTTAACAGCTCGCAATTTATGGGTTACATATTGGTTATTGTAACAAATGATGTCGCTGGTACTTGCTTAATGAGTTTTCCTCTAATGATCTAGATTGAATTAGGTTTAATATTCAATTTTATTGATAATATCGTATAATGTAGCATCAAACGTAAAACAAATTTGGGCAAAATTAAGATGAATGCTACTCCCACCACCATAAACTTGGTTTAACAGCTCGCAATTTATGGGTTACATATTGGTTATTGTAACAAAAGATAAAATATCAACAGCTTAGACAAATATTAATTCGCCACCAAGATCATTAATAGTCTAATCCTCAATGCTGAAAATGTTTCACGTCCAGTATCAGATATTCCCACCAACTTAAAACCCTAAAGATACTGCTTTGCTGAAGATGTTCACAATCTTCACTCCTTGTACCCCAAGCCTGCATAATAACAAATAAATTAAAAAAATAATCAAGTTGTCTAAATTAAATCCTGTCTGGATTTTAATTAATTAATCTGATCTCATTAAATTTCTAAGATAAGCAGGCTGGGGCAGGAGCTTGCCACATGAAGGTATAGCATGATTATGCATATGGAGCCAGCATTCAGGAAGAATTTTTTTAAAAAAAAAAAATAAAAAAACATAAAAGGCAACAGTGGAGCATGCTGTATGTACGCATACTTTAAGCTAGTGGCACCCCTACCAAACATAAATCACAGACGAGGGCAACAATGAAACACTTGGTTGATACTAAAAGAAGACTCATTGTAGAGGCAATCATAATTTTTTTGCAAGCCATTCCAAAGTAAAAGAGACTAGACTGGTACAAGAGACATCAACATTTCAGCAACCATATCTTAAATAGATAACATCCACTAAACTCCAATTACACACAATCTTCCAGTGTGCAAAGTCAGCGCATAAAACCACAAAACTCAAGAATAAATTTCCCACTGTTAAGGCCCTATAAGGCAAGAAAAAGTAGTGAAAAACCACTCATCCACTCAATGAATGTCACCTTTCCTCTTTCCATCTTTCCTTTTAAAGTCTACTCTGAATACCTTCAGCTTTCTTTTTCTAAAATCATTCTCTTCCACATGTTCAGGTGAAGGGTTTAATATAGACTATATGCAGATATGTAGTATTGTAGTGACTTTGATAGCATGCATAATGCAGCAGTTCATTCACATGACAAGATGCTGAAGGACACTCATGACATACGCAAATAGAAATTCTCAATTTCCTTGCAAGCTGATGCATAACCCTTAAAAATCACCCAGGTTATCCTAAAAAGATTGGCCCAATTCCACTTTATCTAATATTGCAAATACTTAAAAATATATATATACCAACCCACTCAACACAACTCTTAATAGAGTGAAAGAAAGTATATTGGGCAAACTTTAAGGGATGGAGAGAGCAACAAATAACAAAATCCATCTCCAAATACCATAAACAAAACCTTGCAGCAGAAACTCAAGAGTTTCTCAAAATTCAAACCCATCATATCTTCTATTTTATTGATATATTACAGGACACAATCAAGAATACGTAACGACACTGATCAAACAAATTCTCTCACAAATAGACAAACAAATATCCACCTTATGTAATGACTTGCATGGGCAAAAACTTGGTAAGGCTGAGCATTGTTGTCATTTTTTCAGCCAAGGGAACTTCCACATAAGATAAAACAAAAAATCTAAAGCTCAGATATATTCAAAAAAACGCAACAAAACATAATTTACTGTAAATTATAACACCGTAACCTAGGTAACATACTGTCAAACTGAAGTTATGTTCAAAAGAAGATTTACATGAACAGCATGCAGATTAGTAAAAAACCAAAACAATTGACCATCTGAAGTTCAAGGCAGCAGCAACTACTAAATCACAGCCTAAATTTCATCTACAGCCAATAGAGGAAACTCACCATGCTCTTAACGTGCACCAGGTGCATTCATTGCCAAAAGCATTTGATTTCCATTAGGCAGGTAGGTCACTTTAGAACTCCTTCCCATTGTCGCTGCATTCTCCTTCATGGCTTCAATCTTCCTCAATTCAATCAGTCCCATTCCTGCAGATGCAGTTGCATCAGAAATCAATTTAGCAGACTCACTTTCCCCCTCAGCCCTAATGATTGCTGCACGCCTCTCTTGATCAGCTTTCATAACCACATATTTGGACCTCTCAGCCTCCTGCTGTGCCACCTGCTTCTGCTCAACTGCCCTTGAGAATTCTGCACCGTATGAGAGGTGAGTAATTGCCACATCATCCAATATGATGTTGAAATCCTTTGCCCTGCACACAATAGAAAATAAAATTCATTAACAAAATTCAAATTATTTCCTTCCAAAGTGTGTTTCAGCTCAAATTTGGTAAAGGAATTTTAAATAGAAACCATATGAATACAATCAATCATTATTTTTTTCAAACTTGCACCTTAAGATTGATTATCAGACAGTTAAAGTGGTGCTTCTAAGCAAATAATTCCCAATTCTTCAACTATCCACAACCCACAAATCATTTCAACCCCCCCATTTGTTCCCAAAATCAATTATTTTGCACTTATACAACCAGAAGCATGAGACCAATATCATAATGAGAAAAGGAGCTATCAATTTACAAAATCAAACCACATTCGCCTAAAAAAAGTTAACTCGAAAAAAAAAAAAGAAAAAATCAGAATAGTTATCACTTCAAAATTCCAAAAGAAGTAACCACTTGTGTATGTCAGTGTGTATGTTGGGGGAGGTGGTAGGAAGCACGCAGATTCATGAATACATTCTGTTCACCAAAATTACAATTATCAAAACCTACAAGCCTTTCTCCGGGAATTACCTACATTGTACGAACTTAGTGGCACTAACGAAAACTTATTTTAATTACTAGATTGAGCTCCGCATTACTCTCATCAGAGCTTATTGACCTTTTTCCAGCGCTTATTTGCTGTTATTTGCCCCTATCTAAACGTCATTGACCTTAATCAGAAATTTTCAAGGTACAGTCGTGCAATCAAAATGTTCGCAATAAACACACAGCTAGTCGCAGGATCAATCAAAATGTACAAGTCAGAACTTCAACTACACAATCAGCTAACTACTGCAACATAATAATCAGGGAAAACAACAGCAATAGCATAAAATTTCTATTTCTACCAATTAAACACCAAAAAATTCAAATTATCAAACAAAAAAGACCAAGAAACAATTTATGCGCTGAATAAAACCCTAACCCAAGATCTCCAGAAAAAAATAACAGAAAAAACAAAATGAATACCTCTTAATCAAGCTGTCTCTGACAAGAGCAGAAACCCTAGGACGATCAGTAAGAAGCTGGTCAGCATTAAACTGAGCAACAACAGCCTTCAAAACCTCATTACCAATAGAAGGAAGAACCTTCTCATCATACTCCAATCCAAGAGTCTGAAAAATATGAGGAAGACGATTCTGATCAGGGCGAGACAAAACCCTAAGAGTAAGATTCACCATCTGAAGATCCTTAGTACCAGAAATTGATGAAAAATTGTGAGGTCGAGTACGAATATCGAAGGTGTAAGGCTTCTGGAGCCATGGAATTCGAACATGAGTACCTTCGCCGACAGTTTCATCGAGAACTCCGCGAAAACGGTCGAAGATGACGGCCTTTTCGCCGCCGTCGACGGTGTAGAGGGAGTAATTGGCGAGGGCGCCGATGGCACCGAGGCCGAAAGCTGTTTTAGCGACGCTGTTGAGGATGTTGGCAGCTTGCTGGCTTCCCATGGCGGAAAAATGGAGGAGAGAGAAAAATGGAGGTTGAGTTTTTAGGGTTTAAGGGTTTGAAATGGGAAAAAATTGATCAAGTAGTTAAAACCCTAAGGAGTGCGTGACTCACTGACTTGGGAGAGGGGAAACTGGAAATGTGTGAGGATTTATTTATTTTTATTTTTTTTGGTGTTGTTTGGGCCTCATGGGGGTTAGCAATCTTAACATGGGTCGAGGGTCGGGTATCCAAAAATATTATCAATTTATCATAACAGATTAACATGATCGGGTTGTCGATAACCAACACTAACGATAATATATATGAATCAAAATATCAATATATATATATATATATATATATATATATATAGACATTTTTGGAGACCATTCGGAGTGTCACATAAGCAAAGGTATATTTTCGACCAATTAAAAATTAGATTTATATTTTATTTTAGAATTAAATAATTCATT